GAACTGTTTTTGGGTCTATTTTCACTAATCGGTCACAAATCCATGAAATTAACATATAAGATTGGTAGGGTCTACTATGGATCTCTTCCAATGTCTTCCCTTTGGCTCTGTATACTTGTCAGTAAGTCAGATTGATACCATATTCTATTTGCAACTCTCTCCTAATGCCATTTGGACGTTTGTCTACATGAGACCTCACATCCTCAATTACAATACATGATGTTGGACTTGAACTTCCCCTGTAGGTAACAATCAAGTTGTCTTGTGCATAATGTATATGCTCATTTTTAAATGTCTTCACAGGAAGAAATGAAGTTTCCTTTCCCACTACGTATGTTGTGATCTTCAAGGGCAGCCATCAATGTCACATATCACTAAAGCTGGGAAAACGGGTTGAGCCCGCAGGCTAGCCCGTTTAACCCGCACAATTTGATGGGTTGGGTTGAAAAAATTGGCCCGTTTTTTAAAACGACCCAACTCGCAAAAAAGCGAGTTAAAACGGGCTGGCCCACGGGCTAGCAATATTTTTAAAAAAAATATTTTTTTATTTTTTAATTACATTATATCTTTTTATAAATTTACAATAATGATAATATCTCTTAAATATATAATTTATGACTTTTAAATCTGTTCTTTACATTTAAAATATAGTGTAAATTTTTTTTACAATTTGCAAATAAAATGTTTGTTATAGTTTATGAAGATGATTTATTAGTTTTTATAGAAATGTTTTGAATATATATTATTTATTAATCTCATAAATTCTATTGATTGAAATTATAAATATGAATTCACTAAGAAAAATAATATGAGTTTATATTCAAATTTTCTTTATTAGTGACAAAGATAGCACATCTAGGTGAGAAAATGATTAATAATAAAAATCTAGTAAAATGAATTTGCTTGGTTGAATTCTATATTTATTTTATTTATTTACAAGTTTTTTAATTTCTAATTTTTTTTAAAATATGAAATAAATATATATATATATATTTATATTGCATAAATTTTAAATTATTAAAAAAATTTGATAATTTTTTGCGGGCTAGCCCGCGGGTTAACTAGCCCGTTGAAAAATGAGTTGGGTTAGATTTTTCAGCCCGTTTTATCTGGCGGGCTGGCCTAACCCAACTCGCAAAACTACTAGCCCGCACGGGCTAGCTCGTGGGTTGGCTCGCAACTCGTTTGCCCAGTACTACATATCACTCTCATCTTCTTTATGCTATTGTTCTTATATTTGTATGGAAACTTATAAGCAATGCTATATTTATACAATGCTTTTTTAAAGGCTTTAGCATAGGGAAAGGTCTGCCCTACACCTAACAACAAATTCCTCCACTTAGAAAAATTAAGCTCTGACATCAATATAGGTGTACTTTATACTCCATATGGTAATGTTAGAAGTTCTCCACAAGTTTGGTAGGTTACACATTCTATTTCATTTTTAAAGGCTACACATTTGAAATCATGATCTTCAATAGGAGAGGAGAAGGAGAGTTTGGATCTAAAAGTGATAAGAATTGCTCCATCATGCATTCACAATCCATCCAACTTCATGTCTCTTTTACACTTGCATTAACAATCACAACTTCATTTTCTAAAATAACAACTATGCTATAACAAATGACAACTTTCTTTAGAGGAATTAAACACAGTAACTTACATTGGTGCTTCCTCAATTGTTGTTTCTCTACTACCATTTCTTTTACAACCTATATATATATGACTGCTTCCAACATTATGCTCAAATAGGGTAACAATTCCACCATCATCAACAAGGTCTATAAGGGTCATTTCATCATATCTCACAGTGTATTTCATGTCACTCAAATTAGTGTCAACACCAAACAAGATGATATCATTATTATGAATTCTTCAAGTGTCATCCTTTCTCTTATCATTTTCACCCTCACACTCCCCCCATCATATTATATTTTACCTTCAGTATTTTTTACAAAATATCCCCTTATGTGAAAATAACAAAATAGTTCCTTTCCAAAACTAGAAGAAGAAAAAGCCATTTCTCGTGCCAACTAGAAATAATGAAATAGTCATTATCAACATGTTTATTTTTTAAACATCATGATCACATATCTGTTATGTTTTATCTAACAACAATTATTGTTCTTATATTCACAACTTTTGTATTTGTTATTTATAACTTTTGGTTTCTGCATTTACAACACAACTGAAAATGATATATCATTTATCATCTATCATTTATCCATGTTGAGTAATCATCAGTGCCCACATTTTTTTAGTTTCAAGCATGAAGAGAAAATAAAGACCTCAATCATTTACGCACAATAACCCATATCAACTTCAATTATCACATATGAGAAGAGAAAATTTTAAGGAGAAGAGGAAATTTACTCACAAACAGTATACGCAACAGAGGAAGAATACATGCTAATATATACCCACATGCGGCACCCAATCAAAACAAACAACCCATGCATAGAAAATTAAGAAAAAGGAATGCCAGCACGAGAATAAGAAGGAGAAGGAGAAGGACAAGGAGAAGCAAAGGGAGAGGGAGATGGACCAATACCATAAAGCTGAGAAGATGAGAACCTGAATAGCATGAATCAAAGCCAACACGTGGGAATTCTTCTTTAGTAGGGATTGGGATATTTATTTACTTTTAGGGCGATTTGGTCATTTCATTTGTTTTTCTAATGACAAAAAGATCCTAAGGGACTTAAGGAAAATTATATTATTTCGTGAGACCAATCTATCAATTAGTTATTTTAAATGAATTTTTTGTCATTTTCTCAAAAAATAAGGTGCGTAAAAAATAGATTGTTTTTAATCCATAATTTTACAAGGATTAAATGGCAATTTCAACTTTAAATTATAAGTTTAAAAATATCTAAAATCCTAAATTTATTTTTTAGTGCAATATTTTTTTTCAACCTTTAAAAATGATGTGTGCAATACCACCCTTATCATTAATAAAAATTAACTTTCATTATTTCAGAAAATTATGAGAAATAACTTAAATTTTACAAAAGTAAAAGGACCCCAAAAAATTACAAATAAAAACCCTTCAAAATTTTCAAACACTTTAACTCAGAATTTTGTTGGTTATTTACAAACTTTGATTAAACAGAAGGGTTGTAAATAAAAATTAAAGTCTAATTATTTTTAACAAAATGTCCGTTTATGTAATTTTGACAGTCGAACATTTATGCTGCACAAGTTAACTGAAAAAATTTTACATCAAAAAAATCATAAATAACAACTAACTTTTATTAAATTAACTCAAACATGTACAAAACATCTAGATAATTTGGTGCTGGTGCTAGCCCCACTATTGAAACGAGCAACGATAAAAAACTTTGCATTGAATTTCATGTATGATGTATACAAAAATTAGCAACTATGTCGGGCTTAAAATTTACTAGATAAAATTTACAAATAACTTAAACAAAATTTACCAGAAGGTCTATAAATAACAATCAAAATTTATTTATTTACGGCAAAACATGTTTAGATATAACAGTTCATGGTTAGTGAAATATTTACAACAAAATATTCGAAGATGGCCATGAGTAATTTTGTGTGGCAAAATATTTGATCAGTTGCATTTGATATTGCGTCTTGTGAGTTGAAGTGCCCTTTCTACCTAGCCTATACTTTATGGATTGAAGCCTTGATTACTCCATCACATTTTTCCATGGCAATTCGATCTGAATCAAGACTCAGGAGACCAGAACGTCAATGTTCAGTTTAGGATCAAATTAACTTCTTGATCTACACAATGATAATGAGCTCTAGAAACAATAATATTCAATATAAGTCAGGTTCAAAAGCAATTCACAACAAGCGTAATTTTGCCTAACAAAACGACTTCATCATCGGATTGTGAAGTAATTTTAGTGGTGGAGAAATAACAAATTCACACTAAATTAGTCTTTTCGATGTGTCACTAATTTTAAGGATTAAAGCCAACTGAACATCAAAATTCAGAAAAAATCCAATAGAACTCAGACAGGCTGAAACGTAAAACTAAAGGACAGGAAAATAGGAGAATCCAAACATTTTAGCGATGAACTTACCAAAATCACTTACTAGGAAATCTTTCGGAAAATGACAGAAAATTTTGGTATTACGGATTTGATTATCGAAATAAGAAAACCTCACATGTGTACTCAAATTTTCCCAAAGCTATGCACATTACCATGCATATACCTCAAAACTTGTGAAGGAAGGTGAAGATCAGTGAAGGAGTTAAGAACCCACAAAGAAAGGGTGGCCGCATCAGTGAAGGATTGCTTGAGCTTGAGGAAGGCATCAGTATTGGAAGAGGAAGAGGAAGAGGAAGAGGAAGAAGAGAAGGGAAGAAGAAGAGAGGGAAGAAATGGCAGAATCCAATGGTGATACAATGGCTAATTTGGTCATTCAATGAGAAATATAATTATAAACAAGGCTTTTGATTCTGCAGAAAAATATCAGAATCCTTTATCTACAAATGTGTTCCTTTTAAGAGCCATGAATGCAATTCAATAGAAATGATGATTGAAAATAGATTTTTTATTCAATATATTTAATTGAATAAAAAGTAAATTATTTCTTCATCTAATCAATTAAATCCATAGTTTATAAGATAACCATCCGTTGCGACTCTTGAGAAAAATAAGGAAAAGTGAAAACTAGAAAAGAAAAGAAGAGGGGGGGCGGGGGTCATTTTACACGCAAATTTTTCCATTAATTGCCGGATCTATGGAAAAATTAAGGAAAACGTGTAGGAGTATCTTTTTCCTGCTGTCTCCTCCCCTAGTTTTCTGACTCCCTATCTTATTCCCATTCTAAACAAACTTTTAGGATCAGTTTTTTTTTTTTTAATTAACAACTATAAGACAGACACCCCTCAAGTCAAGTATGAAGTTAAATCAGATTTCATGGGGAACAAAAAAAATGCGCCCCTAAATCCCCAAAAGAAAATAGTAAGAATATAATCACGCTTATGCGAACAATCTGAATTTATGAGAACTAAATTTATGGTAAACGAATCGTCTTTGATTAAACAAGAAAACAAGTAGTAACATATCAATCCCAATTAAATAAAAGAAACCCAAAATTAGTGACCTAGAGAAAGAACAAAGGAAGGCAACAAAACTAATGCGATAATCATTCTGAGAAAAAGAAATTACACAGGTCCTAAACATGCTTTCGCGGGGGCGAAAAACTTCTAATCACGGAGTAGTACTTAAGCTCCATCTGCAAGGAACATCCACTATTCATCATCCTCATCCTCATCATCTTCAGCAGCATCAGCTGCAGAGTTGAGAGCCTGCAAACGGGCAATCAACTTAGCCTTCCTCTCCTCGTATGTAAGTTTCTTCAGGTTGAACCTGCACAAAACACACAAGATAATCTTAATAACTCACTATGATGTGACATCAAGAACGATCTGAATTCTTGTATATACGTGATCCGTTCAGAGAGGGGTAAAAAATGAAATATAATTTTCACACACAATCATCATCTTTTGTTCAGTCTATGTCTGAACTCATAAATGCATCAACAAACTACCTCTTGTGTTCCTTTGGTGGCTCTTTCTCAGACTTCTTTATTGTGGGGTCGGCACGAATGGCAGCGTGAACCATTTTGTACATCGCCTCAAGTCCATCAGCCTCTAATCCTCGCTTGATATATTCACTAAAGTGGGACTGGTATTTCTCTGGTTCATCTTCCATCAAAGTCTGCAAAAAGTGATACATGGGTTGTCGCAGTATCCCTCATAATATAGAAAGAATGTTTGGCAGCAAATAAAGCCTTATTGCATACCTGCATATATGCAGCAACATGACCGCCAAAGATATATTTGCGATGAAGCTCAGGGTCAAGCTCTTTCTTATCCTTATTAAAACCAGCAAACCTTTTGTCGCTGTGAGGAATATCTAAACCCCCGTCCAATGCTCCCTGTAATCATCAGAATTTACTAAAATCCACAACCATGAAAATATCAATTCATATAACAGCCATGTGTGTGTTAATCCAAGCTTCTTAGAAAATTAGTACGTAGAAAACAAGCTGAAGTGCAGCGCACTTGTATTTAAATCAAGCATGTAAACATGTATGCTGAAATTGAACTTGAATTACAATTCAATCATAGTGGAGCCAAAACTCAGTTTGAAATTCACAGCCAAATCAAGTTGGAACCCAAGCTTCTAGATCAAATAAGGATCAGTACCAATTTGAGTTCAACATGTGAATATTAGTATTTGGCTTGAGTCAAACCAAATCCACTCTTAATTAAAAGCCAGACATAACGAACGTCACCAAAAGTGAAACACAAATCAAGCTTGTAAAAGAAAGAAAAGAAAACAAGAATCAATAATATTAAGAAAAAAAGTTGAGTATTGTCAAAATTGACAAGTAATAGCTATACTTATAAAAAAATGCTGCTGACAAAAATAGGAGGAAAAACCAAAGTGCAAATATTCAATACCTTAAGGGCACCAAAGACACGATTGCCAGTTGTGGTCTTAATAAGACCAACATCAAGTAGAGCACGGAAAGGCCTCCTAGTATCAGAAGGTTCAACAGAAAAGTCCTCTCCTGAAGCCTGACAATAACAACGTCATTATCCTTATAAGCTCAAAAAATGAGAGAGAGAGATATCACAGTATCTGCATAGATACCTCAACATTGCCCTCATACTCCTCTTCCATCTCAAGCATTTTAAGGACTCGACGAGCCAATAGAAGACCAGTGCAATAAGCTGGTCACATTCAAAAGAATATGAATCAAGAGGGTGATCAACAGTTGGCAGACATCATGAAAAATTAAGATTTCCTCTAAGAAGTACCTGCAGCATAGTTTGTAAGACCTACTTCAAGACCATAGCGTGGCAACTCATGCGCATATGCAGCAGCAAGAACAATATCACCAGCAATACTAGCAGATGTTATTTGTGCAATAATATCTTTGTTTGTCTAATAATGAGGTTAAGGTTTGTAGCAAAAAATTAGCAAAGAAATAAAGTTTCACATGACATTGTTCAACTGCTTTGTTCAAGGTAGTACAAATGTTTATAAGACCAATTCTTTCTATCACAGCAAGGGCAATCAAATATTTTCAACTATTTTACTCAGCTACCAGTAAGTCATATATTACTGGGTAGAACAATATCAACGTCATTTGAGCAACAATATACTTGTTTGTCTAATAATGAGGTTAATGTTCATCGTCAAACAAAGGTGAGCAAATGAAAGAACATTTAAATGAAATTTCTACAGCACTTTGTTTGAGCTTGCATGTCTGATAAGAAAACTATTTCTTCTTTGCACATCAAGAACGTCAAAATATTTTCTCATTCTTTCACTCAGTTGCTAGCAAGACAAATATTAGAAGTATAGAGCATAGACTAACGGAAGGATACAAATCGAACGACAAAGCGATATTTGGGAGTGTTGTACTTGTTCTTGTCCTGATTGATCAACCGAATCCTAGCTCGGTAATCAGTTTTTCCCTCTGCAGATGTTTTTGAACAAAGAGGAAAATCACACAACAGGAAACAAATTAGCAATAACAGAAAAAGCAAAAAAAGGACCAAGATAAACAACAATAGTACCTCTTCTTCTCTTAAACTTGACTTGATATCTCTTGAAGTACGCCTTAGATTTCTGAGCCTTAACATATGCCTTCATTGAGGAAATGAAAATAAAACAGACTTCAATTTAGAGCCACTAATATAACAATTTTAAACGTCTCAGCCTCAGGCTACCAACTAAAAGCTAAACCACAAACAGCGGATGTGAAAGATCAAAATCTAAAAATCAAACAAATGGGAAAGCATAAAAGTAAAGGTGTCAAGCATCCCAGGCAAATCACCGAACAAGTACAAATCAGAAATAGACCGTTGCCGCATATGACTAAGCCAGTGTAATTCCTTCATAAAACTAATAAAGGAAGGCTCCGCTGAATTTGCAATTTCGTCAGTTTGCCAAGAAAACTACAGGAATTGACCAAGAACCCAAAACTTCCAAAAATGAATGCGCACAAAATACCTTAGACTCGTTTAGCCACAAATCATCCACCAAACAGTTCAACTACAGCCCAAAAATACACCACAATCTCCTCCATAAACAAGCCATAATGAGCAAAAATGTATATACACAAACAAACCAGAAAACCAACACAAAATACCCATTTTCGTTATTAACCACCAAATAGTCCAACTAATGCCCAGCAACACACTAACACATCCTCCTTGAAGAAACCCACGAAAGTCCACATTTGCACAACAAAGACGATACAAAACAAAAACTCCTCCAGAATCAGCCACACAATCATGCGAACTCAAATAGATACGTACCATCGATGATCCGTTCAAGAGATTCAGGAGTGTGGACGACGGCTCCCGAGGCCAAGAGAGGGCTTGTAATTGGCACGAACTGGTTTATATGGGAGGGTCGAAGTCTGCGAAATCTAACGTGATTAATTTCATCGTAGGGTTTTGGGAGAAGTTCAATGGGCCGGGTCATAGGGCCCAATTATGCTTATTTCTTGGCCCGATCTCAATTTCAAAAAAGTAAAATTTTTAACCACCACATCAATATATCATCATTTTGTGTTAAAAAAATCAATATCATCATGTGTCTGTATTTGACTACGAATTACTGTACATATTATATTATATTGATATTGTAAAATGTATATTTAAAAAAGTCATCTTCTACCTGAATCTAATACGAGGACTAAATATATCTAGTCTATTTATTATTCTAAAATAGAATAGAATAAGTGAGTATTATTACTTTTTTGCCGAAATAACTTTATTATTATTTATAAGTTGGCCAAAAAATATTATTTATTCATGTGATTTAAAATATATTTTTGAAATCTGTGTTATTTTTTAAAAAATTCTAAAATCGCAGTGGAAGCGTATTTGGAAAATCAAAATAGCCAGTTACTAAGAAAATCCCACCAAGTACCATGATTTGATGGGAAAAAGGAAATTTTGGCCAAAAAAATGGGAAAAAAGAAATTGCTATATATATATATATATATATATAATATTAAATCTAGTTTTTTTGAAAACCACACAAATTAAGAGAAAAATGGCTAAACATTACAACTCCTAATTTTTTTTGATTGTTGTTTAAGGTTTTAGCACAAAAGAAGAAGGATGATCAATAATTTTTCAATTTTCACGTGTGACATTACACCCTACTTAAGTATTCGTAGTTTCTCAATGCCAAAATTTTAAAAATATAATATACCTTTTAAGAAGTTTGATGTTAAAAAAATGAAAAGTAATTTTAGTGTTTCAACTTGTAAAATATAATTAATGTATTTTTTAAAAAACACTCTTAATAAAAAATTCATATTAGTTTCACTACAATTAACTAATTTATTAAGAAAAATTAAATTAAAAGTGTCTCACATTTTTTAATAATAAGAGTAATGTGAATTGTTTTACAAGAGCTCGTGACTTGCATTGATAATTAAGTAAATTAAACTTGGCATTTTTGCAAGGCAAAGTCAGAAAATGCCTTTGAGCAGAACCATTTGAATAAATTAAACTATGTCCGTGAAAGATCCAACAAAATTTTGTATTTGTAATTTATTATTTGGTTAATGAGTAAAGAGAACTTTAAACTCTTACTTAAAAATCATCTTAAATCCTAAACTCTTAAAATATATAAAATAAATGTTAAACTTTTAAAGTTATGATAAAATAAACATTGACCGTTAACTTTTTTAATACTGTTACTATCTACGTGGTTACTGTAACAATCAAAGTTAAATTCGTGAAAAATTTAACCCTGAATAATACCTGCATAGATAGTAACAGTGTTAAAACATTAACTGTCAAGATTTAATTTGTTATGAATTTAAAAGTTTAGAATTTATTTTATACATTTTAAGAGTTCAGAATCAAGGAAAATTTTTGAACAATAGTTCAAAATCCTATTTATTCATTAACCTTTTATTATTTAACGTGATTTGACCCCTTCTTTTCTCAAACTCAAATTTAGAGTGATTGTAAAAGCTTTATTTCAATTAAGCTTTGATGCTTCACTTTTTTTTTTGACAAAATTGATGCTTAACATTTTGTCAATATAAGCTTCTTCTTCTTTTCTTTTCTTGGGCTAAATATACTCTTACATGCTAGGTCTCAGCCTCGCTTATGTACTTTTGTTATTTTAAAAAAAATAGAGAGAGAAAAAAAATTATGATTGTTGATATTTTAGAATTGGATGGTGACCTCAATCAAAATCTTATCAAACAATTATCTGGTGTTTGTCCTTTCTCTTACTTTTTTTTTGTTTTATTTATTTAATTTCTTATAAGATTTTACTTGATCTTATAAGATAGACACATACAAGTTATTTGTAAAAACAAGAAGAAAATAATTAAAGGGTACCTACTGACTTGTGACATATAAAGTCTAAAGATATAGATATAAGTTGAGTAAGAGTTGAATTTAATAGTATAAATAAACATTGATATTAGTGAAAAAGGTTATGGCTGATTAAGCATGATACCTCATATTTAAATTTGTGTAAATGCATAAAATATTTTTGAAAAAGTTACTCTCAATTAGTCTGACAATGGTCAATAGTCAAATAGTCATATAAAAAAAATAATTGAACTTAATAGTTATTTAGCAATACAAAACATATTTTTTTCTCAAGTTGGGCAAGTTAAAGATATGATGTTAATGAATAACAAACATAGGTTATGGTCAAAATTGTTAAATGATAATACTTTTTTTAATATAAGGGCACGCAAAAATTCATGCAAAATAATGATAAATTAAGTCATGTCAAAGTGCAAAAAAAATTTGCACCATTGGATGGAAAATAAAAAATCATGATGTCTAGACTATCATATAAAATTTGAAGTGCAAGCCAATGAACACATTCATTTTACTAAAGACATCATTAAACATGATTATCCCTTTTCTCATGACAAATTCCCTAATTTTCTTGATAATTTTAATGAGAGGATGGTTATTTAAGAATTCATGTTGGATGAGCGTGAAAGTTTCAAGAGAGTCAGAATAGATAATATTTGTATCAAACTTGCAATTCCAACATATTTTGATTCTTTCAAGAATATCCATTAATTTTGCAGCGGTGATGGGGTGGTAGCCAATATATTTTGAGAAGCTCTTAATACAATTACCTTAGTTGTTTCGAATGAGGCCACTAGAAGCAGTAGCACCATACTTGTTAACTAAGTTATTGATATCGAGTCTTATCCAACTTCCTTCAGGGGGCACCATTTGGGGCTTCAACTCTTTTGCCTTACAATAACATGTGGTTAAACCTTGATCAAAGATTTAGATCTTAAATGACAATACTCTGAACAAACAAATTCAAATGGTGTAGAGCAATCTAAAACTACTAATCTCCAGTTGATTTACCAAGCAATCTTGATTGAGTGGGCATTGTTAGTGGAAAGAATTAATTTGTTATTTGGGAGAATTTCACTTTGAAGTTTGACCCTCTAATAGTAATTAAGGCCCAAAATATTTTGAAAATAAATTGCAAGCCTAAGATCCTTTTAAGGGAAAGTGTCAATTAAGGACCTCTCTAAGGACATTAATTTCAATTAAGGACCATAAAATTTTAAAATTCCAAATAAGAACCATAGAATAAAAAAATATAGTTTATCTTAAATGCTTTTAAGATTCACTAACTTGATGTGGGATTCATTAATGCCACTTAGAGATTCACTAATTTTGATTTGAAAAAATTGCTAATGTATATTGTGAAAACATGCAACCCCACTCAAGAATTGATTGTTTAACAAAAAGCGTCACTTGAAAATTTATTAACACGACTTTGGAAAATATCTAACGTATATTGTGAAAAAATAAAATCTCATTTAGGAATTGATAACTTAACAAAAATAACTTGTCTAAATTGGGATCCATTAATGTAAAGTAAGTTTCACTAATGCCACTTGAAAGTTTACTAACTTAACATGAAAAAATTGTTAATGTATATTGTGAAAATAACATAATTGGGTTTTTTTATCTTAGGAGCATTTTAGACAAACTACCTTTTTTATCCCAATAGTCCTTAATTGGAATTAAATGTCCTTAGGGTCCTTAATTTTCATTTTCTCTCCTTTTAATGTAATAAAGTTTTAGATGTCAATTACTAAAATGCTCCTGTTTCTTCTTTCTTTTTAAAACTAGCGTCATTATTACTAGCTACGGACAATGATGGTTAAATGTTGGTCAACTATGCCATGGGGAAATTTGAACTTTCATCCTTTGATTTCCCGAAATACAAATTATCATTAAACCACCAAACACTTCAAAACATATGTAACAATACATATACATGCATACATGCACACGCGCGCACGCAGACATATATTACTACCTCTATATATATATATATATTGCTACCTCTATTTTAAATTATAAGATACTTTTAGAGAAGAGTAAGCATTTCAAAATATAAGACATTTTGATAAAAATAAAATTTTATTAATGATACTTTTCCAACATAACCCTTCCCATATATTCTCTTTCTTCAATATTCTTTTATCAATGGAGTGTTGAATGAAGGGTATTTTTAAAAGTTTATATTTCTTTCTTGAAAAAGTAAAGTTGTAAAGTATATTTAATGAATTTTATTGATAATCTAAAAGTGTGTTATAATTTGAGATGGAGGGAGTATAAATTTTGTTTTGAAGCATTTATATGAGTTATTATTAATATCCAAACAATAACTTGCCGGCAGGTGAACATAACTTGTCAATATTAAAAAAAAAAACGTTGCTAATTTGTAAATTTCAACTTGTTCAATTTTACAACCTTTTTTTTTTTTTGCTGATAGCTTCTACAACTTGTTCTTAGAATATTAACAAGTTATTAATAATATTATGTTAAATAAAAATATGTACATATTCTGTTAAATAAGAATATGTACATATAAATTGAGTTTCCAAGAATTTTCATAAGTTTTGTTTAAAAAAAAAACCATAAACATACCACTTAATTACATAGCACATGGCATACTTTTAGAAAACACTTGAAAACATAAAACCAAAAAACCTACATCTAGGCCTAAAACTTGCCTCCAGCATATATATTGTGTGTCAATCAACATAGCTCTGGGCCTCGCCACTAGAAAAAAATGAAATTGTCCATCACTAACTAACAAAATCTATCATTAATTTTAGATTTAATATTGGATTGTCTGTCGCTAATTTCCCTCACAAATATAGCATTATTAATTTAGTGATTGAAATGAATTTGTCGCTAATTTAGTGACGGAAAATATTTGTTATAATTTATTTTATAATTAAATTTTTTGATGATCTAATCACCACCATGTCACTTCCCATACCACCTTATAATTACATATCACTCACAATCCGCCATTGTCATTTGGACCTTCATGTCACGTCATTGTCATATTAACAATTTATTTTAATTCTCTTTAAATGTGACGTTGTCTTATCTCAAACTCAAGACCTCTCTCTTTTCATATGTGCCTTTTGCTAGTTAAGCTGTGACAATTTTTCATTCTTAATATGCAAAATTTAATATATAAAACTTAATTAAACACATATATCTAACTTAAATGTATTTTTATATATTTAATATAGTATTATTTAAATATGTTGATAATATATATTATCACACACATTAACACGTAAATATATAATTTAATATTTATTATTTGTTAATAAATATATTATTTAATACAAAATAATATTTATTATGAAAATAAATATCCGTATATATCATTTTATATTATCTATATTATAATTAAGATATTTTGAAATGGTAAAAATTTTATTTTATATTTAATTTACGTAAGAAAAGAAAAATTATTTTTATTTTTTATATCATTTTGTATTATATACTTTACTTATAATACGAGAAAAATTATTTGTGTAATTATTTAATTTGGTAATTTTGAAGATTTTTTAATGTGAATCTCTTTATATATATTATAAATTTTTTATTTTTTATAAAATATTTGAACTCATTTTACTATTTTTTTAATTAAAAATATTTGTCACTAATATAAATATTTAGTGACAAATTTAAATTGATGGCTAAATTTATAAAATTTGACTAATATGTGACAACATCCTATATCCGTCTCTAATCTGTCACTAATTTATATAATTAGTGATAGATTTTAGTCAATCACAAAATTTTAGTCACTAATGCCTATAATTAGTGATGGATTTGAGATTTATCACTAAATGTCCGTTACTAATTTTAATTTTTCTAGTAGTGCTTTCATGTGATGCACCATCTTTAGCTCACATGCCCATTAATTCCTAATGCATCTGGTAACCTAATACTTATTATAAGGTGTCTTATAGAAATTTTTTTAATAATTCTTAATAACTTAATTATTTTTCCTTGGTTTTAATGAGATAGTTAAATGTGTCTTGTAATATAGATTGGTATGGAAGGATTGATTTGGGCCAAGGCCTTTAATGTACTTTTTCTATTGTTCCTTTCTCTCTCTCTCTCTCTCTCTCTCGTGTGCATGTGGAGCTAGGAAAACAGGCTGGCCTGGCCCTCAATAGGCTCAAGCCTAAAAAAACCAACTCGTTTTAAACCCAAGTTCCCTTTAGGGGGCTCATGTCTCAAGGCTGGCCCTACGTATAACAGGCTCAGGGTCAGCCTTGCGGGCTTTGAACCCTTTTACTTTTTTTTAAAATTTTTTAAAATAAAAATATTCATTCATCATTTCATTACAATATAAATCTTATTTTTAATGTTAAATTATGTAGACAACATCTTAATTTTTGATATCAACAATATTGGATTATGTAAAATTCCCTTATTTCAATAATAAAACATTAAAATTTATAAATTCCTAATTCAAATCATAGAATACAAAATTATATAAATAAAAAACAATCTATTATTAAAAAAATATAATTTAGAAATATAACACACATACGTAACATGAATCAAATTATTGTCTAGAATTTAAATTAGATTAAATAATTACTTTTTATCCAAATACATTATTGTCTAGAATTAAACAAACCAAACTTTATCCAAAAAATATTAAACAAAACAAAGTATTATATAAATTTTAATTCTAAAAAAAAGCTACTATAACAACAACTAAATATTTGAAACATTATCAAAAATATTAATAATATTATCATAATAAATAATATTTTAAAATATAAATAAATAAAATGGGCTGGCCTCGACCTTACAGGACCAGCTCGTTTAGGCCCTCGACCCATTAGGGTTGGACCTTATAAACCCGTGCTCTATTTTGAAACTCTAAAATTCAAGCCCAACCTTAATAATTATTTGCTTAAACGAGTTGGCTCTACGAGCTCAGCCCATTTTTCTAACTTTATGTGTGTGTGTGTGTTTTTTTTTTTTCAAAATTAAAGTGTGTGATTTTGATATTTTTTTTTAAAATTAAAATAATAAAAGAGAGAGAGAGACTTTAATCGGGGACACCCCCTACCTTGGATTTGACCCTTACAAGGCCTTAATTTCTTCCGCAGATTGGATTTTGCCAACTTCATATATTCTCATCTCATTTTTCCATATATCTTAACATTAGCACTATGACGCTGAAATGACCTTATTGTTGTCATTGATAAGTGAGAACAACTATTCAAATAAATAACACAGGGACTTTCACACCCATTTTGTATGCATTCATTCCAAGACAACACATATTGAAAAAATACTCAACATGAAGCCTCTCCAAAGTCTGACAGTTCAATCCCATTGCTTCCAACCACGTAAGATTCACCCCATCACATTATGATAAGTTCCATTCTTCAAGTAATGCACACCCTTATAGGTCATGTTCGATTATTAAATGAAATGAATGGACTAAATCATGATTCCCAATTTCATGAACTAAATTATCCCTCTCACATATAATGTGTTTATTTATCCCTTTTAATCATTTTATTTTTATTTTTTTAATTCATTTCATTACATTTCTTCTAGTAGTAAATGAGAGCTTAAAGATTTCCACGACCGTGTCATCATTAACAGTTTTGCAGTTTTCTAAGGCCGAGAAGTTTAAGGTTGGAGGCAAATCCTAGTCCTAGTGTGGTGGCAACACTTAAAGATTCTACGTTCAAATGCGCTAATCCAACACCACTAACTATTTCCTCTATCCCTTCTGGTCCTAGCTTACAGAACTAGCTTCCACGTAAGCTATGGTTTCTGCACGCCCTTTGAACCCACACCCAGAAAATACCATAACAGTCTGACAACTTCTTGAAGTTGCCGAGACATTTCTGCATGAGAGAGTTTAATCCTTTGTCTGATATTCGAGAACAATGTGAGAGGTTCACATTTATTACAGACCAGAGAAACCTTTGGGTAAAGTCTTTAAACCTTTATCTGTAATCTTGAGGCACTTGACTGGAGACTGGTACAATCAATGATTTGCAAATTGAAGCGGTCGAGGATAGGCCATGGTCAGTGATATTGGAACAAGAATCTATGAAGTTCCTGTAAGTTTGGACAATAGTGTCGCAGATAGGTCAATCCTAAATCAGTTAAATCTGTGCAACCAGGTAAAGACAGTGATTGCAAATGTTGAAAGCGACTTAGCAAGCGATGGAGATGAAAATTTTGAACGCAGAAGGACTTGTCAGATAAAAATGAGGGTATGATGAAAGCAAATTCTTACTGAATGACTGACGATTCGTGTTTTGATGTGAAGCCATCTTTGGCAAGTCAGGCCAAATGATTGACTTGATAAGCCATTGTTTAGACAATGAAATATAGAACAAGGCATTCATCTGGCAGGTTCATGATCGATGTAAAACCTTCCATGACAGCAACCAGTTTGAGATTCTATACCTTGTGAATAAAGCTGTGATGATTGAGTCTTTACGCACGTTACATATATATGGTTTCCGGGGAACGTCAAATTTGCGGCAAAGAAATAATTTATTTAGTCTTTGAATGATGACCAAAAACACAAAACGAGATAGGAAAGCTATTTATTTATCAACCTGTGTTTGATGAACTGGCTGAGATCGATCAACTGAGTCAAATGAGATTGGTCCTTTCTTTATGGACTATTTATATCCATCCAGTGGTTACACGTATAACATTTTCTTGGTATGCTATTTTTTTTTTTTTGGGTTTTTGACCCGGTATAAGTCGTTCAGTATTATTTAATTACATTCCAGTAGTATTGTCAAACTTTAAGAAACGCTAACTTTCTCAAAGAGTTAAAGTTGTATGACAGTTTTTAATCACACAGATTCAAATTATTTGGTCTTTGTCTCATTACAGCATTCTTCACGTGCTAGTGCCAGGTCGTCTGGATTTATTTTAGGATGAGAGGCCTTGGTAAAATTTTAAAAATCATAACTGCAAAAATTGTTAAGGATTAAAAAAATCAGTATACATGTATTGCAGTTTAAAATTTTTAGTTTAAAATATAAATACTAAAATTCAGACTTTCGAGTTTTGATCTCGTTTAACAGACATGAAGTTCAATATTCCACTTGACAAAAAAACATGCCCTTTTTTTGATTTACCTACCTAGGCAAAGACATTCTTGGGAAAACAACAACAAAGCCAAGAAACTTATATATGATTTTATAGACGTTAAAATCACATACCACCTACCAACAAAAATATTGGTCCAATTGATAAAGATTTAACCCACAATTCACAAGATCATGGAATCAAACCAAGCTTTGATATAAGAATCCTGTTTGTAGATAATTTGTATATGAGCTCCTAGGATCTAATTCAAGTAAACTTTTATGTACAAAAAAAAAAAAATACATACAACCTAGCAATAAAGAATGATCTAGTTAATTAGAATTTACTTCACAACCCTAAGCACATTGAGCTTGAAGATATACTTTAATCATGGTGAGTCTCCAAGACCAAATTTGTCTACACTTTTATGTACAAAAAAAAAAAAAAAGAATTACATATAGCCTACGAATAAAGGATGGTCCACTTAATAAGAATTTAGTTCATAACCCACATAATTGCAAATCAAAAAAAAAAAATATAAATACATTATAAACATTTATTGAGCCAGAAAACATGTCTTGACCTTAGTGAATCCTTGAGATCCAATTTACCAACACATTTTTGTTACAAAAAAAAAAAGAAATCACATACCGTCTGAGGTGAAAAAAAAAAAAAAAAAACTCACATCCGATCGAAGATGAATGACTTCTCACCAATAGAAAAAGGACCAGGCATAAATTCATATACTCTACCAATAAGACTATATCACAATCATAATGAACATAAAAGGTCCATCTTTAGCATCCAAATTAAGTATATAATCCAAAAAACACTCACAAAAGTCTCAGACACTTCTATGTAAAGATCTTTCCAAACAAAATAATGTTAAAACATAATTGTGTTTGCAAATTCTTCTCTTGAAAGCTCAAGAATTTAATCTGTATTCCCAGTTAGGGTTGATACTCATTATCTCTACTTCCTTTATCTTAACATCAGCTCTATGACACTTAAATAACTCTATTGCTGTAGCTGATAAGCGAACACAGCCATTCATATAAAGAATTGATAGACTTTTGCAACCATTCTGTATAGATTGCAGCCCAAGATCACAAAGATTGCGGCATCGGTTAACGTGTAATCTCTCCAGATTCTGACAGTTTAATCCAATTGCTCGCCACCCAGATAGCTTGACCTCATGACACAAGGCTAAATTCCATTCCTGAAGTAACGGACATCCCTCGGCAATTGCGCCAATCGATGCATCACAAACAGCTCTGCACATCCGAAAGTTTAGGAATTTGAGGTTTGAGGAAAATCCTATTCCTGCCAGGGGATCTCCAAAAGGAGACCAACTTAAACAGGAAACATTTAAATACTCTAGTCCACCACCGCTAACAATTCCCTTTATCCCTTCCGGCGTTAGTTTACAAGAATCAGCTTCCACATAAGCTAGAGTTTCTGAACACCCTTCAAAGCCCACACCAGCAATACCATCACAGTTTGATATCTTAACTGCCTGAAGTTGGTGGCACTTCTGCACGAGAGCTTCTAATCCTTTGTCAGAGATTTGGGAACAATAAGAGAGGTTCACGTGTTTCAAGGACAAGCAACCGTTACCTAAAGTCTCTAACCCATTATCAGTAATTTTGAGGCAGCGATAGAGACTAATTGCCATCAATAAGGGGCAACCACAAGCAATCAAGGATAGACCATAGTCAGTGACATTGGAACAACAATCCAGATGAAGATTCTGCAAATTTGAACCATAGCTTTGCAGGCAGGTCAATCCTGAATCAGTTATGTCTGTACAACCAGATAAAGATAATGATTCTAAATGTCGAAAGCGGCTTAGTAACCGATGGAGCTGGGATGCTTGAACGCAAAAATGATTCGTAGATAATGTGGGAGGATTTAATATGGTGAATGAACATTGGAACTGCAATGACCGACGGTTCAAATTTTGAATATTGAGCCATCGCCGGCAAGTCAGGCCAAATGATTGATGATCAATGCTACTATTTAAACGATGAAAAATAAAGGCAAGGCAGTCATCTGGCAGGTGCATGATTGATGTAAAACCTTCCATGCCAACCCTTTTAAGATTCCTCCGAATAAGGCTGTAATGATCGAATCTTTACAGTGAACTTCCTATGGGAACTAGATGAACTGGCTGGGTTGAATCCACAAAGGGCAGGTGAGTCAATATATCCGTAACCAATATGAACACCACATTTGCGGCAAAGCAGTTTAGACTTTGAATGATGACCACAAAAAGAGATAGGAAAACAATTTATTTTATCAACCTGTGTAAACCGGCTGAGATCCACTGAATCAAATGAGATTGATCCTTTCTTTATGGATTTTTTATATTCAGAACCTATGTCAGATGTGATTCGATTAGAGGATGTCAAGTTCAGAGGATATCCACAAGAGCCACAACTGCACGGTGGACAACCAAATATCAAGATAAGGATAATATGAATCACAGAATAAAACACCCCAAAAGGAAAGAACAGACCTAGGTACTTGAGCTTATATACTTGGGACTTTTTCGATCAAATCTATGACAAGTTTTTTTAATCCATGATATACCCTCTAACTAATTCTTTTATTAGCATTTTTAACCTCTTTTTAATCTGAAATCCATATGTTCTAATCTGATCCATTAAACTACATCAAGTATATAAGCTTAAATTAGTTTCCTCCCACCAAAAAAAACAAAAAAAATGTATCCTACAAAGTGAAAGCAAAAAAATATATGATAAAGATATTATTTCAAAATGGTAAAAATATCAGCATTCTGCATTTCACTGTGCACAACATTAGGCTAACATAGATGGTTTCATTACATTTTATACTAATTCGAAATTACGAGAACAGAATGCAGTACAGTTCAATAATGATCAAAATGGACAAGTTGACTATGTGTCTTAGAGTGAAGAGATAGTAAAGCATAAAAGGTTACAGCAAGAACCTGACCCCCGACAACCATAAAAGCACAACAAAATAAGGGGGGATAAGAGAAAACAGATCAGCACCATTACCGTTTCTCTGTTAGCACGGGTCCACATTACCTCAGCACGTTTTGTTTTTCATGAAAAAGGCAGTAGTAGTAAGTAGAAGACAGTAAGCTGATGTTTGGTGAGCAGAATATAATGCACAAAAATGATGATGGAACAAGGATGTAAATGGAAATGACCCTCATAACTCCCAAGAGAAAACTAACGGAAGAATAAGCACTGTTGCATAAATAACGATATTAATAGAATGGATATTGTAAACATTACTGAGCACTCGTTTTTCATTCTTGCCATTACCATTCCCTCGCCCTTTTGGTACCATTCCCTCGCCCTTTTGGCTACCAAACATTTCCTAAATTTGAAGAATCATAACAATATTCACAAAAAATACATGCGTTGAAATGAGATGTGTAACCTTTTCTTAGTGACTTCAAGGTACAGAATTCCACAACAGATCAGTCTAAGCTTACTTCTTCTACCACAGTCAAGAAAACTCGGGTGGAAGGTAGGAAAGGATTTAACTAAAATTGGATGCTTCTTAAACACCCCCACCCTACAAAGATGAAGCCCACTGACCATGCTTGCTTAGCTGTTCTAAGTAGCCTTCCTATCAATCATGGTATGAAACCAATCTAATATTTACAACATCTAAAACACACAATCAACATCCACCAGCTTAGTCAAAGCCTATCTACATGCTATTCTAAGATTTCTTTCTCTTCCCAACAACTGCTTTAACTCCTGATCTATAATAAAGCCGCAAACTGATGCATAAGCTTCATTAAATATTACAGCCATGTAGTAGGGCATAATTGCATCTACAGCAAGAAGACCTTGGCCACAAAAAATCTTTTATTCCACAAATCTAAAACACACTAAACAGCTAATAGTGCTAATTGATAGGTCTTCCTTTTCTTTTTCTTCCAGAAAATTGCCATCATCTTTAAGTGCATATTTATATCTGAATGGTTGATTCATGCCTCCAAAGGATTATGATACTATCCTGTGACCTTCAATTCTTCAAATTATTTCCTTTCAAATGTAAAATGTAAATTAATTAAATTCTTCTCATAAGTCATGAAGTTCATATTGAATTGAACGTTGCTTGTCCTAAAACTATATTCAGGTTTTCAGCTTTAGATACCTAGCTTTTACGTGTGACTCTGACAGTGACAAGTCTTGCCAAGTTTTGTGTGTCAAATTATCAGCATTTCCAGGGAACTCATTTAGTAATTGACTCAAATAAATTATAATTTCCTACACCAAATCTTTGAGATGCTAACAGCTAATAAAAAGAGAGAACATGTGCAATTTTCTTTGTTTTCTGAGCACTACATATTTCATCACTGCAAATTCAGTTCTCCTTTCATACTAACTGGGTTAATTTCATCTCTTTCTTCAGGATTTTCATCTTATTTTTCTTGATTTTCTTGATACCGCATCCTTTCAATCATATATAATCACCACAAATGTTTATGCCACTTCCACTAAATTGCTTTAAGCTATAAATTGAATGTTTTTATTTTCCAACATCCCAACCTGTAAAATCATTAACTCAAGAACCCAAACCACCAAGGGTCAACCATAGGAAGATGCCAATCAGAAGAGACCAGAAGCAAAAAACATGAATCATATCCATCATTAAACAAGGAAAAATAATAAATAACCAAATCTGCTTCATGTACCTATGATACACAGATCAATATGAGCAAAATGATAATGAGGCGGATGTAAAGTAGCTTTTACGTGCTTGGGTGGCACTAAAGCTACCATCATGTTTGTAGAAGGCTTGAAGGGAGGCATTGAATGGCTCAGGCAATTTGAAGGCATATTGGAAATTGTCTGATAAATTTTTGCCTAAGCTAAGGATTATGATATATATTCAATGACTAAACCAAGATAAGTTAAGGAGCTATAAGTGTCACTTGGAGACATGAGAATATAAGACAAAAATTTAATATATTTATGAAGTAAAAACATGAAACACAACACAGCATATACATAATATATACATTCTAAGCATCTTACATTATTATCCTCCTAAAGAAATTTACCAAATAAAAATGTATTGACCAAAATTATTCAAATTATTCTGTATAGAAAAAGAATCTAGGAAAGAATTTCCCATGTCTCATCAAGCTGAGGTTTCCAGTCTTTCTTTCTACTGTTTTTTTAGGTCGTTTTCCCTTTTTCAGGTACAATCATGTCCAACCCTTGTTCAGTGCAAGGTCAAGACATGGTCAGCAGATGCCCAAGATGCGTTGGACAACTATCAGCAATGTGTTGTGGTAGTGCTGAGAATGGTTGGAAAAACTATGCGAAAATATAAAATAAATAGGCTTCCAGTGAATGGGTAACTTAATAGGTTGACTGAGTGGTAAAAGAAAATCAGCGTTCACTTTTGTAAGCAAACAGTCCAAGTAGGTGGTGAAAGGATCCAGTCAGCTGGGTAAAATAGCTACAAAGGTTTGTCATTTCTGTGAACAAGCATTCAACCGGGTACATGGAATAATGGAACCACTTGAAAAGATGACATCAGAGAACAAAGTGGCATCTAGTGCATTGGCAACTGGTCGATTGGGTACCTGCTCGAGTGTATGCATCAGAAAGTGATTGAAATTCAAATTTCAAAGCTATTTCTTGGTCTTGGTGGTTTTAATTCTAGAGTCATGTCCTTTTAATGAAAAATGTGCTGACTCGTTATATGGACTCACAAAAACATTCACAATTAAATTCAAATATGATACATGTTGGTTTATATATTAAATTAAATTCAAATATGATATATATTAAAGTCATACAAGATATGTATGAGGGAGTAAAAACTAATATAAGAACATCTAGTGATCAAACAAAGGACTTTCCTATAAAGATTGAATTACATCAGGGATCATCTTTAAGTCCTTATTTGTTTAATTTGATCCTAAATATTTTGACGGAACACATTCAAGGGAAAATTCTCAAATGTATGCTCTTCATAGATGATATAATTCTTATAGCAGAAACAAGAGAAGAGATTAATTATGAACTTGAGTTATGAAGAAGGACATTGGAGTCGAAAGGTTTCTGTCCAAATAGGAGTAAAACGGAATATTTATATTATAAATTGGTAAAAGATAGTCGACAATAATTTAGAAGTGAAATTGGAAGATCAAATTATACCTTAAGTGAAAAAGTTTAGATATTTGGGAGCCGTTATTCAAAATGATGGCGAAATCAGTGGGGATATTTCACATACAATTCAAGTTGGGTGGTTTAATAGGAGAAAAGCTAAAGGAGTTATTTGCGATCGTAAGGTGCCTAATAAACTTAAAGGAAAGTTTTATTGTACTGCTATTAGACCGGCTATGTTATATAGCAGTGAATGCTGGGCTCTAACGGGATAGCAAGAGCATAAAGTTGGAGTAGCAGAGATGAGAATGTTATAATAGATGTGGGGACATACATGTAAAAATAAAATTCGAAATGAGCACGCACGCGAAAAGTGAGGATAGCACTTATTGAGGAAAAAATGGTAAAAAATCGTTTGAAATGATTTGACCATGCATAAAAAAGACCGCGAGAGGCACCGGTGATAAGAGTGGAACATATAATTTTAAGCCCTGTTAAGAGGGAATAGAGGAAGGCCTAAGAGAACACTGTTGGAAATTGTTGAATGCAATCTCTTAATTAATAATATTTTTAAAAGCTTGGTAAATAATAGAGCACAATGGCGTCTTACAATCCATGTAGCCGACCCACTTAGTGGGATAAAAGCTTCTTGTTGTTGTTGTTGTTGATATGATACATGTTGGTTCATATTCAATACAAAAGATTGGTTCCATCATACAACTCTTATTTTCCCTGATCCATGACTTTGCTGTAGGAGAGAGATTCATAACTTGCTAAGTGTTTCTCACTAAAATGCTTTGGATAGCTCCTTGAAGTTTCTGATCAAACAAATGGTATTAGGTGTGATCTAAATGGCAGCACCAGGATAATGGCATAAATTATTTGTGTAGGCCCTACTTACATGTTCACACATCAGTCAATGCACACAAAAATACCTACATTACAAATTTTGGCAACGATACAAATAAAATTGCCACCACGAATCAAACCCCATAAAAATTTTACAAATTCTAGACACTGTTTAAGGGTAATCACTTAACAATAAGTTAAAAATTCATCAGCTATACCCGATAACAAGCTACGTGGACTAAAACCTATGAAACAGATCATAACGAAAAGAAACAGAAAACGAGAATCACCTGTACGAGACGTCAGCTGGTGACATCCTCTCTGATTATAATCGTGATCAGGACCTGCCATCATTGTCCATCGAGTTCGCCATCATTTGCAGCAAATTGTCAGGAAAAAAAAAAGAGACTTCGAAGTGTGGGGAAACACTGAATTCCGAGTAGACTCCAAGACGGTGAGACTCCCTCCGAGATTAGAGATTATGCTTTTTCGATGCCCGTCGCCCCTAATCAATCTCTCTCTTCTTCCTTCGATGCTTCTTATGCAGACTGGAGATTTATTAACCTATCAAAACCAGCTAATTTGGTTTACCATGAACTCTTTGATTTGGTCTTTAATGAAAAAGATACAAACAAGCTCTGTTCCAACTCTTCCCGTTTGACCATATACCGAATCTGTCACAGATATGACTTTTTCCTTTCCCCGGCGGTCATAGATAAAATTAATTATCGGAATAGATTAGATTATGCATTAAAAACGTTTGCTGTTATTATTATTTTATAAAAATAAAGCATAATATAATAAATAGAAAAAGTCATATGGTAACAAATCTTTTAGGGGATTTGTGAGTAATGAGTTATGTCTCAATTTTAGGTGACTTATTAGTAATTCTTTTTACTTGAAACCTTTTTAGGAGAATTATCTAAAGATCATTTAAGTAAATTATTTGTAGATATAAATTAACAACAAATCTCATTTAAAAAAATTATATTTTTATTTTAATAACAATTCATTTTATATAAATTTTTATCCGTGAATAAAATTCTTTTGAGTAATTATTGAATATGATTTTGTCAACCTTTTTCTGTAATTTATTTTTTTTATCATATAAAAATTATGTCATCTCACAAGACAATGGTTGTATTGAATAAAACTGATTTATACTATTTATTTGAATACATTGATTATAATTTTATAATATAATTAATTTATAAAGTTGATTAATAAAATTAATTTTGACTATAAATGAAAATATTTAAAATTTGAACTTGAGGAAATTAATTAAAGAATCCATCTTTTTACTTATTGAGTTGCGTACTTGATATATATAAACAAGTGATTTTAACAAGTATAGTTTTAAGTTTATAATTAATTTTGAAGTTGAATTTAGATTTTTTTTAAAAAAATCATGTTTTGAATTTATAATTGATTTTAAATATATAATATGGTGGTGTTTAAATATATTTTTACAAACTATAATTTTGACTTTTAAAATTAATTTAGAAAGGTATCCAGAGATGCACAAAAATGGCGCCAAACATGGCTTATATAGTTTCAGAAAAATTAATTATTTCATCTTTATAATTTAACAGAGTAATTTAGTTTTTACAGTTTGGATACACAATTCAGCCCCTCTAACTTATGAAACCTCAAAGCAAGTCCCTCTAATTTAAGAATTAAACTAATCATCTCATGTGCCTTTGCCACGTGTCTAGTTGGCAGCGCTCCAGCTATGAGGCCATTTTCCCGCGTTGGCGGGAAAAGATCAAGACCTCCACTGCCTCATTTTGTCATCGCGAACTGGAGGAACATGGATTGTCTCCTAACAGCGTATCTCCTGTGTATGCAAAACGATGCCGCTTTACTAAAAATAAGACTATCCATCCGTTGATGCCTTGGACAGTTTGACGGCAGAGATTACGTATTACATCGTTTAATCGTGACCCTTCATTCGAGTGTGGAATCGTGACAATCTGTGTTCTCAATTAAACCCCTCAATCTTCTTCCCTCGACTTCCTCCCTCCCGCTCGCTTCCCCAAACGCCAATCGTTGCTGTCGCTGATCTTTTCACCTCCTCAAACCTCTCATCCTCTTTTTCTCTGCTTTCGTATTCACATGAACTTTAGTATTGACGGAGCAGAAGGAGAAACTATTGAAGAATGCATTAAGCTCGATGCTGCTGGAGTATTATTTAATCCCGTGAGGTACTCCACAGTCGTGACCTTAATGTGATGACTCTGACAAACCAGTCTGTCCTATTCTGTGACTCGCCATGCAAAGCTAGCTTCCTCCTAAGCTAGCTTCCTCCTAAGACCATTCTAATGATCTTTTCCCGACGCTGAACTGAAGAAACCAGAAGTTGAAGAATTTGAAAGGTTTATCCAGCAAGACTAATCTGTGTACCTCTGTTTTATTTGAAATTGTGAAGCATAAATAGAACCCAAAAATCTCAACGAGAAAAAGAAGCCAAAGTACGAAGATGGTTTCCGCGAACCGAAAGATCAAAGCTTTCTTGTCAAATATCTAAGATTCTATGTTATCTCGAAGAGGATCAGAAGTGTTCCTTCTTGCAGCTTTCTTTTTTTTGGAACCCATTGAACATGAATATATAGTAAAACGGTGTTGTTTTACCTACCACAAGGGGTGTCGAAGTAAACATCTCTTTCTATCTTCTCCTTGTTTCATTAGTATAGCTATTGCTGAGCTGATTCTCAATGCCTGTATTACTATAAGCTCTTATGCGGGTTCTGCATAACCGGGAAACTGTTGACATAATTCTTACAAAATTTAGGCAACGAAAATGGCTCCCTCGTCTCCGATCGGTGCTCATTCGCATCCCTCGTCAATGGCTCCCGAAACCATGGAGAACAACATTCAGGTGAGGTTTCTTATTCTCTCTCCTCTCCCTACCTACTGATGCCTCAGAAAATCCACATAAGTGGAGCTGGGTTCGACTCACTTTTTGCCCTGATGATGAAATCTATTATGAGAAATTGAAGACAGAAGATCCCTTAGCATGATCCCCACAATTGAGGCATGGTACCCCTTTTTGTTAAAAAAATTTTACAAAATCCAATATTTCCTTTGCCACGAGCATGTGCTTCAATTGCAACTGGGAGTATTCCGTGGTCTTGAATGGATATGCATATCGTTAGAAGAGTGATACCCTTTGTTTAGTGATGATTACAATTACCATTTATGAGAATGGGGGAGGATTGAAAATGAGCAAGTGTCATAGGTAGAAGCTAGTTTTATTTTTAGTTTGGTTTGACATCCCAAGCTAGTGCTGGAAGAGTGCTGATGCACTTCTCATTTGAGTTCTTTCTACAGCCATTTTATGTCCTTCACAAAGCTTCATCTCGAGGAAAAGATAGAAAATCTACAGGATATGGAAGAAAGAGGAGGAGAAAAGAGGCACCTTCATCACTGCAAAGCCCTAAGAAACTTGACGGGAGTATTGCAGAAGAACATGATGGCCATCATCTTCAGCAATTGCAATTTGAAGCATTTTGCTTTATTTGGTCAAAAATTGAGTCAACTATCAAGGTCTGCAATTTATCTTTCTTATTTTGGTTTTTCTACTTAATGCCTTGTAAGTTCATATACCGCTCAAGTGATAGATGCCGTCAATTAATTTGGGCAGCACAATTATGAGGCCCTTTTCTTTTTATTCTCAAATTCTTGAATAAGATACTGAAGAGTCATTATTTTTGTTGCAGGATGTTTTGAGAGATATCAATGCTAGTGTTTTTGATGAAATACGACAATGGGTTCTGGCATGCTTCGATGCTACTAGAGCAACTGGAGAACCTAGCTTTGCCAACTCAACTGGATCTTTCCCTGTTCTGAACACAAGTACTCCTAGCCAGCTATTCACTGGGTTGGTTATTACCAGTAAGCTATACCTCCAACTCTTTCTAATGGCTTTGGTTATTTGAAGCTTTTGCATCCCGTAGTGCTTTGATTGCTAGTGTCATTATAATTGAAACAGATATCTATCGATTTTGTTATATGCAATTTATATTGGTTGCTTTTTTTTTAATTATATAAGTTAAATAGAAATAACATCATTTAAATAGTTTTCTGATGAGTTTTTGGTTGAATGATGAGTGGCAGAAAACGTGGAGTTTGTTGATGACATTTTGACATTTGAAGAGCTTAGTCTCTTTTTGAAATCGCAAGGCTGCCATGTGGGTAAGCTATCATCATTAGACTTTTCAGTGAAAAATGGGATTGCTGGTTGCCTAAAGGCTTTGTTGCGAGAGTTTATGGACACCACTTTAGATGTAGGTACTTCTACATATTTAATTGATTCTATCTACATTTATTGTGCCTAATATTTTTTTTTTTCCTCTTCAATATGCTATCTTTTGGCAGTCAGCCGATATATCAAACTTAGCGTCATGGTATAGAGAACAAGGAAACTACAATAAACCCCTGGTTCTAATCATTAATGATTTGGAAAGATGCTCTAGGTCGGTCTTATCTGATTTTATCCCCATGTTATGGTATGTTTAAGCATCTTCTGAGTATTGATTTATAGATATATATGCATGTATTTTTGTAATATGTTGTGCATTATTGGTATATTGAATACTCAATTTAGTTAACCATTTGCTTATCTTGACTGTGGTTGAGGCCTTATTGTGTATGTGTCTCTTGTATATGAATTCTTGTATCTAGTGATTGAATATTTTTGTACAATGGTGCCTTTCACTTCGATGATTTTACAATGGCCTTCATTTTCTTCTACTCTTTCTACCAGTGAATGGGTAAACAGGGTGCCAATTATCTTAATATTTGGAGTTACGACCACAGTGGATTCCCTAAGAAGCATTCTTCCATCACATGTTCTTCACCATTTGTGCCCCTGTAAGTTTATGCTTGGATCACCAGCTGAGAGAATGGATTCAATTATTGAGACTGTTCTTGTGAAGCATTGCACTATATTCAGTATTGGTTACAAAGTGGCACTATTTCTTAGAAACAACTTCTTAAACAGGGATGGGACATTAACTTCTTTTATCCGAGCTTTGAAGGTAGGTAATACAATTTGGGTTACTGGTTTTTTAGGGGCTTTTTATATTTTTGTTATGTTTTACTCACTACACCTGCAATAATAGGGGATATGACTTTCTCTTTTGTTTGTGATGTTTTGTGAATGCATCTTTCCAGATATCTTGCATGTTACATTTCTCTGTGGAGCCCCTGAGTCTTATACTTAGCCAAATACTTGCTGAAGAAGACCAGGTAGTGGGATATTTTAATCCTATAATGATTAATTGTCTTTGCTTTTCTCTTTAAATTATGAAGGTAATCATAGTCACATTTGTTGGAGATATAAAAAGTCATCCTTACCTATAACATGAAAGTCTAAACTCTTTGGTCAAGTCATATGTCTATAATATTATTAGATCCCTTTTGTCTTAGTGATCTATAGATCTATAGTTTTTGGTCCTATTCGTTTGCATAACTAAGTTTGACATTTCAATATATGGAGTGGTAAGCTGGTGCTTCTGCCCAAACTTCGACTTGCCGGCCGTTTTGTCAATTGGCAGGTTGAAGATGTAGAATTCTCTGGTCATAACAAAAGCATCCATTTTATTTATTTTTCTCTTAAGGAGATAAATTAACTACAATTGTCTAAAAGCTCAACCTTGTGGAGA